TGGGGAGCTGGGTGGGCTGAGGCACATCCTGCCTGGGGAGAAGCTGGATGTGGCTGGAAGTGCTGCCAGCCTGGCTGGGGGGGGTGCTGGGCCTTCCTGGGTTCCCCCCTGCCCTGAGACCCCCCATCCCCGTGCTGGGTGCCCCGTGTCCTGCCGAGCCACAGGATCATGGAATCATCAGGCCCAGCCATCATCCCTGCTCTGCAAACTTCCAGCCCCACCCACATCCCGTGCAACTCCCCATGAACTCCCTCCTCTTCGAGTATTTTCTCCCTCTCAGAGATCGTTGCCTAAAAGCGTCTCGTTGTTTTGGGTGGGTGGGTGGGCTTGCTTGGGGTTTTCTCCCCCTCCTGTACGTGCTGGGTGGGAAGGTTTCTCCCTGCCCTGCTCCCAGGGACTCCCAGTGCTTCCGTGAGCAGGGAGCTGGGCCTGACAGCCGTGTCCTCCTGCCTGGCTTTGCAGGAAGAAGTTTTCCTGGGGCATCCAGATGACAGTGTTTGCCATGATCATCGGCGCCTTCGTAGCTGCCAGGTGAGCCCCACTCTGCTCTCCCCCCAGAGCCTCAAGTCTCCAGAGGGTCCCTGGCGACATGGGGTGTCCCAGGAGGAGGGAGAGGAACTGCTGATTCTTTATTTCTACCCCAGACGTGCTCTCTAGTAGGAAAGAATGTTTCCCTGACCCAAATCCCCAGTCCCTCCTGGCACGCTTTAGCGTTTCCTGACAGCTTGCTGGCTAACCAGCAGGTGGAAGAAATCGTGCACAGCTCAAATCTTTTAACTGAAGGGTTTGGTTTTTTTTTGGTGACCATTTCTTTTCCCCCACCCCCTCCCTTTTCCCAGTGCTGACTTGGCCTTCGACCTGGAGGGGTATATTTTTATCCTCATTAACGATGCCTTAACGGCCGCGAACGGTGCCTACGTGAAACAGAAGCTGGACTCAAAGGTGGGTGGGCCTCTTGGTTTGGCTCTTGTGCTGGGTTTGGCAGCAGCTTGTGTCTGGCTTGGGGATGGGGGGCTGGAGGAAGGGCTTGCCTGGTGCTACCCCCTCCCTTGCCCACAGTGTCCCTCCTGGAGGGTCTGGCATTCCCACGGAGCTGGGCTGGGCTGGGCTGTGGCCACAAGTCTGTGTGGCAGCAGAGAAATGGCATTTTGATGGATTGATGGTGGCCATAAAGCCTGTTGGAAGCTTGTTGCCTGAGTCTGTTGAATGTACCCTCACCTGTGTCTGTGTATATATTAAAAAAAGGTATTAAATATATAGATTTTAAACACAGATAAATCAGTGATTTCCCCCCCCTCTTCCCTCTCAGAGGCTCCCACGTGGCTTTAGCTCCCAAGACCAAATTTTCGTAGCCATATGAGTAAGGTTTTGTGTTCCTGCTCGTGGAGGCAGCTTTTCCACAAGGCAGCTGTTCCCTCTTCCTAGGAGCTGGGAAAATATGGCCTGCTCTATTACAATGCACTCTTCATGATCCTGCCCACCTTGGCCATCGCCTACTTCACCGGAGATGCACAAAAGGTAGGGGGTCCTGCCCCCAAAGCCAGGACCTGCAGTGGCACAAGAACCCTTGGTGTGGGCACAGTGGGTTGCCTAGAGGGAGGTTTTGCTGGGGGGTGGGGGAGGTCATCGTGTGCTTTTCAGTCCTTCAGCCTCATTAGATTGAAATGGGAAGTGCTCAGAATGGGAAACTGCCACGTAGTTCTTTGTGCCCGGTGTGTGAGCAGGGTCTGGGCAGAGCCAGGGGGAAGTGGCTGGGGCAGGAGGTTTTTTTGGGGGCACAAGGGGGAAGCTACATGAGCAGAAGGCCACTGGAGGTGGTTTTTGTGCTGCTGGTGGGATGGGGAAGTGTGGGAGCAATAAAAGAAGCTGAATAATATTTAAAACAAAGAAGCCTGCTATTTTTAGAATAAATGGGCTTCTTCAGGCTGCTCCGTCCTTCCCTCTTGCTGGGCTGTGTGTTGAGGTGCTCTGAGGGTTGGTCTGGCTGTGGGTGCCCTCCCAGTCTGATTTACACACTGTTCCAGGGACCTGGCATTTATGTTGGGTCATTATAATACCTGATGACAGTCCCTTACATGCAGCTCCCTGCTCGATTGGCTCTGAGCAGGAGCACTGACTGCCCATGCACCCTCCTCCCTAGGAGGGAAGGTGTTGGAGGCTGGGGGTGCTGCCCACCCTGACCCCTTGGGGACACCTCTGGGTGCTGCTGCCCTTGGCAGTCACCCCTGTGTCCCCCCTCCTGCCATGCCCAGGCAGGGAGAACCTGGGGGCTTTTTATTCTCCTTGGGAGCCTCATGCCCTGCTGAGGAGCCTCAGTGAGCAGTTGCTAAGATCATGAGCTGTGATGAGCAAGGAGAAGTGGAGTCCTCATCCCTGGAGGGGTCTCCAAGCCCTATAGATGTGGTGCTGAGGGACACGGGGCAGGGGTGGCCTTGGCAGGGCTGGGAGAATGGCTGGACTGGATGATCTTTGAGGTCTCCTCCAACCCAAACGATTCCTTGATTCTGTTTGGGGATAAAGGGCTCATTTACAAGCAGGAGCTGGTGGAGAGGGAGCAGTAAGTTGCTCAGTGCTGCTCTGTGCAGCCTCTGTTCAGCCTGTGAAGAAACCCTTGCTTCTTGTTTGGTTTGTTGGTTTTTTTTCCCCTCTTTCCCCCCTGAATAAACTCCTTCTTCCCTGGCCTAGCTCCTGGCAGGCAGGGCAGACAAAGATGAGCTGTTTTGGGGCTGCTGCCAGGAAACTCGTGTTTGCAGCCTGATGAAACCCCCCCTTGTGGAGCGTGTGCCTGGGCACGTCTGGCAGGGCTGGGGGGCTGTGCTGGGCATTGGGGGGGGGGGGTGGGAAAGGGCCCCTCCCCCCCCTGCTCCCTGCATGTGGATGTGCTAAGTCTTGTAGTTCATTAAGGAGCACCACAGGTAATTGGTCCCATCGTGCTCGGTGAGAGGCAGAGGTGGGCATGTGGGGGGCATGTGGGGGGTGGTGAGGGGAGCCCTGCAAGGAATTCCTTGTGGGGACAAGGGTGGACCTGGTTGAGGCTGGCAGGGACCTCTGGAGCTCATCTGGTCCAACCCTGAGAGCTGCTGCCCCAGTGGGTGCTGGACATCTCCAAGGATGGAGGCTCCATCAGCTGGGCATCCTGTGCCCACACTTGGGTACCCTCACACTGACAAGGTGTTCCTTGCTGTTCAGAGGGACCCTCCTGTGTGTCCATGTGTCTCTATGGCCCCTGCTCACCACTGGAAGAGACAGGCTGAGGGAGTTGGGGTGTTCAGCCTGGAGAAGAGAAGGCTCCAGGGAGACCTGAGAGCACCTTCCAGTGCCTGAAGAGGCTCCAGGAAAGCTGGGGAGGGGCTTGGGACAAGGGCAGGGAGGGATGGGATGAGGGGGAAGGGTTTCCAGCTGAAAGAAGGGAGCTGGAGATGAGATGTGAGGGAGAAATTCTGTGCTGTGAGGGAGGTGAGAGCCTGGCCCAGGTTGCCCAGGGAAGCTGTGGCTGCCCCATCCCTGGGGGTGTTGAAGGGCAGGTTGGATGGGGCTTGGAGCAACCTGGGCTGGTGGGAGGTGTCCCTGCCCATGCAGGGGGTTGGGACTAGATGGTCCTTAAGGTCCTTTCCATCCCAAACCAGTTAAATGCTGCTGCGTCCCCTCTGCAGCCCCAGGATGTCACTCTGGGCTGTGTTGGC